ATATTTTAAATATATTTATAAAATATATTTTTAAGAATCTTTTTTTGTTTTTCTCGTTTCTAATGTCACAATCCAATATCACAATCCAAAATGGCCAAACTTTTAGACAGGAGCCTTAAAAAATAAATCTTGTTTTTTTTCTGGAATATAAAATCATTATGATATAATAGCTCACGCGAAGATGATTTTATTTGCAATTGTTTTCTCAGAATGACTATGTTTAAACGAAATATTTCGAGATTAATCATGTCCTTTATAAAAAGAAATGTGCTACTGCAATTTCAGTTTGACTTTGATCAAACGCATTTACTCTCTATACGAATAAAATATTATCTTAGCGACTTTTACTACATTGTGTGACACACACACACACACACACACACACACACACACACAAATTTGGCCAAAGCAACTTAAAAGATGAATGCAAGAGATTCGCATTAGCGACGGAAGTGCAAAAAGTGACAAATAATGTAAGAAACGAATCTTACATGTCTTTTATCAAGAAATTTGGAAATGTGAATGAAAAGCTAACATTTGAAATAAAAGGAAAATATTTTTAATATATTACTGTAATTATAATATTATACGTTAATATAATACGTTAAAAATAATATTATAATACGTTAAAGTTCTTGTATTGTAAAAGTATCATGTATTTTTAAAAATGTGATACAAATATTGCTTTCGAGAAATTAAAATTCACATAACTTTATTAACAATCAATTGTATTATTTAATTACATATCAATATTAATTCTGTAATATATTCATCAATATTTTCAAATGTATTCTGCTATTAAAATCTTTACTAAAATCATTCATTTTCAATTCAATTGTCTGTAATTTTTAACAATTATTGGCACCTCAACATTTTTAGTAAAAAAAACATGGACTAAAAAAGTTGCAAAGTTGAAACCTATTTTAGGGTTTTTCCCTGTCGATACAGAGAGTTTCGATGTTTAAGAAAGAGACCGGAAGTGCCATTGGTGAAGTTTGGAAGTCATACAAGAGAGAAAAGCCGAATATCACGACCGCTCACTGTTGCCAAATGCATTTCGAAAGATTATGTTCGCACATAAACGCCAACATAATTTTACGCGACGCAATTCCAAACATACGACAAAAATGTTTTACGCATCTTCCAATTTCCAATTTTTTTAAAGAAACAATATGTATAGAAACAATGTGTCGGAAAAAATGTGTATAGAAACAATGTGTCGGAAAAAATGTGTATAGAAACAAATGTGTTTAAAAACAATAATAATAATAGTAATAATATATACTAGCGGAAAAAAATTTAAGTGGCTGGTATCAAAAGTTGTTTTAAGTATCAAAAGTTGTTTTAAGTATCAAAGTAGTTTTGGTATCAAACTAGACAGTCTTGTAAGACGTACGATTAATACAATAATTTTAATCAATTAAATATTAACATTAAATTATATTTAATAAATTTTACAAACATGTTAAATAAATCTGATAAAATAATATGTTAATTTTGCGTAGATTAATTTAAATAACAAAAAAATTGATTACGAAGTGAATACAATTCATATTTCAAAATATTCTATTTCATAATTAAATAGTATTACGAAGTATCCTCTTGAGAAGAATTTTATATATTTAGAAATTTTTTTCCATTCTAACAATAAGATATTTAAATGAAAATCAATCGAGAAACATGATTTAAGGAAGAAAGTAATCAAGATGGGTCTTGATGTCTAACGATGTCTTTGTGTGAATTTTATAATTCATATTCCAATTCAAACAAATTGCGCGCCAATTATTTGTCTGTTTTGAAACGTAGTCCTAAATTGAAACTGAATTATGTAAAAATCTAGATCTAGAACGGATTCTCATATTGCATATTTTTTTGGAAAAGCAGAGAAGTAAAATCAAAATAGAAATTTGTCCCATTGAAAAAGCATTTCTAAAAATATTTAATTGTGCATATTTGCATATTTTGAGTACATTTTCATATTTTGTCTGCATAAAATATTCTAATGTTTACAGTGATGTAATACATCACAAAATAAATAGACAAGCAATTTAATATTAGTAACACTAATAAATATTTTTAAAATAAACGTTTTTCCAACACATATATATAATTATAATTATCGCAATTAATATCACCGCATGCCTCGATGATTGAATTAGTAGAATGCCTGCACGGAATAAGAGAGAACCAGAATCGAATTCCGTAAAAAAGGTAATATTTTTCACAATAAATTCTTTACAGTATTTTAAATATTCATTAATACATCAATAATATTAAACAATTTGTCAATTCCAGTTGAAGTTTAGGACTTGGTTTCAAGTCGACAAATAATCGACACGCAGTTTGCTTGACCTTTGGAAAAAACATCACACAAAAATATTATTAGATTCCAAAACCTTGAAAAAATATGGCTGTTTTCTTCGCTTAACTGTTGAATAAGATATGTGTTTGTCTGATAAAACTTCATATACAAAAAAAATATATATATATTTTGTATATACATATCAAATTTTATCATATATATATATTTTTTTTATATCAGCATTGATCACAATAAAATGCGCAAACAATTTTTATTCATCAATTTAAATTAGCTCATTTTAGTATCGCTTTTTTAATATTCTGTAAAACTTTTCAATTCACATGTGTATCACATATGAGATGAGTTTTTGCTTTTAACACGCTTCTCAATATAACATTAAAAATGCAGAATAATGGGCTGATTTTTGTATTTCAGAGTAACATAAAAAACTGGTGACTCAGAAATTATAATTACTCAAAAATTATAACACCTTTGTTCGAAGCAAATGAATGATGTTCTTGAAGTATGTATTTTTATTTTCTTATAAATACATTTCTGAATAAAAATTCAATTTAAGATTTCGAAACAATAACGTATTTTATAATAAAAAAGTGACAAATTATATATGTGTACATAGAATAAGATAGTTGCAAAATAAATTGTAATCATTCAAATGTTACACTAAACAAATATTATACGAGTTATCGAACATTTAAAATTGTATAAAAATATTAAGTAGCTTTATACTTTTTATATACTATTTATATAAATTGTATAAAAGTATACTTAACCTAAAGTATTTAATTCTAGAATGCTATTCAGTGATAGTGTACTA